TATTATGTGCAAAGGTGTAAGGTTTTAACACCCCTATCAACACTATTAGGATATTTAAGAGGCAAAACCTGTGAATGTCATCCCCGTCTCCGATAAAATGACCAGAGTTTCAAGAACGAATCGGGACTATCTGCTCCGTAATTCAGTATGATACCAACCATCTGAACTAATGGAGTACCCTAAACCAATATAGAACAATGCAGTCCGGTGATATTTAAGACAACTGAACGTATGGTTATATTATTGCATTACTCCACATAGTCTGTTCCTGTGTGGCTAAACCCCATCTCCATTCGCTTGTAAAAGTTAGTGGCAAATAAAAGTGGGTAAATGACATACATTGTCATCGATTTTGCACATCATTCAGTTCAAATCTGGCGAGAAAAGGCCTCCTTCGCTTGCGCCTCGTCTGTGAGCCTAATAATTTATAAAGAGATTATCATTGCTTAATTCTATCCACAGAAAGTCCTCAGGATTATATCGAGGTATCAGCGGAGTGTCTTTTAAACAAAAGTTCTCCAACAAGCTCATCTAACTAAAAGACTTCTGTCCTCGTCTCATCTGAAAATGGCCGACGGAAAACCCACAAGAGAAGATGCCTTGGCCGCTGTTGGCGCTTACATACAGAAAGGTCGGGGAGCCGAGTCAACGGCTAAGCTATATGACGACACAGCGGACAAGTATGACCAGGTTTGGACTTCTGCTTCATTTCTTTTTTTTATATTTAATTTATTTAATGTTCTTGTTGATACATGTGTATGCTGGTTACTTTATACCGGTGACGTCTGTGGTGTAACGGTTACTAGGCGCTTTGCAATGCATACAGGAGACTCGAGTTCGATTCCTGAGTGGGGAGAAATTTTTATGGAGTATATCAGTCCTTTTGCTGGGATGCTGGGTTGGCCCTGGCAGGCAAGGTTGAACACCTTCCTCCTAAATGATTTAAATTGTGTCAGTTGGGGATGTAAAAACATAGTGTCTATCTATAGAGTCTACCATTAACAAAACAATGAAACGGGTGACAACAGTTGTGTTAAGTCGGTCTGACTGTTTTAAAGAAATACTTCCTTGTGTATAAGATAAAACTGTTTATCATAATTTATGTAACACATACACGAATAATTACGCTCTTAACCATTTCATGTAGAACATATGTATGAGTTTGGTTTCCACGTAGAGAAATTAGACTTTGTGTTCGGAAGCAGATCTACACCCCCCCCCCCCACAGGCCAAGGTTGGCATGAGTAACGAGCAGTTTAGAAGCAGTTTAGAAGCAGCCCGCTTCCTAAGCGATCTAAATGTTGTCTATTGGGGCATAAAAGATCCACAATCAATACGAAAAGTAAGAAAAAACAAAAACAAAAACAAAACAAAACAAAACAAAACAAAAAACAATATCTAGTTAGTGTCACCTTGTGGAGTTTATATGAAAGATGCTTTGAATTCTGTTTGTTTTTGTCCATTTGGGTATTAAACATTCACAATCAATGACAAAAACAAGAAAAACAAATAATACTTAGATCTAGATCTAGTTCCTTTCAGCTTGCAGACTTTGAAAATGAAGGTATTTTAAATTCTGCACAGTACATGGAGGCGCTCAACTTCGGTGGCCCAACCCAGCTGGCCAAGTCTGTGAGTGCGTTGATAGGAGACAGGTTTGACATCAAGGTCATCGACATTGGCGCCGGCTCTGGGCTGTCTGGACTTACAGTAAGTTGATGTGGGTTTTTCTCTTTTTTTCTCTGGTTTCTTTTACCGTAGTTAAAGTTAAAAGTTCCTTTTCCTTTTGACTTTGATTAAATTCCGGATGTAGGTGGTTGGCGCGTGCTCTGGTGGGGTTTGCTCCTTCCTTCCTATCCAATATCTATCGTCCATATATCTCTTCGTTTTCTTATTTATGTAGGTTACTCTCTTGCAAACCTCTAATCTTCAGCACTTCTATGACATAATTGTTTTGCAAGTGCCGCAAAACTCTTACTTAAACTAAACGCTTATGTTCTGCCTCGTTATTTTTGCTTCATCCCAAATATTTATTAAGTCCCATATTACACCCGAATACCAGATCCAGCTCGCGAGCACTTTCAGTCTGGGGCCCTGAGTCCAACCAATAATTACATGTGTTCTGTCTTCTATCTTTGTTTTAAGGCTGTACAATTAAAATTAAGGAAGTTTTCGGGCTTTTGAAAATATGCAGTTACCTAATTAGACATCAATATTGTTCTGACAATAGAAATTGTAATCAATTGCTCCATAACTATTTACTGTTTACCTCAGTAAATCAAGCCAAAGTTACACTGGCTAATGAATAATATGGACATAAAATAATCAGATCGACCAAATTTTAGTTAAATTGAAATACACACCAAAAAAGTTTGAAGGTTTGGTTTGTTGGGGGGAGGGGATTGCCTCTCTTGTAAAATTTCATATTTGGCTAATACGTTTTTCTGTCATACTCATAAGACGACTGGTGTAATAATGAATGTGGTGAATTGATAATTAGATAAAAACAAACTGTCTTGAAGATTAAAATCAATAGTTTCTGGCCAGGCTGGAAGCTCTAGATACAGTATCTCTCTTATCTGATGGAGTGTCCTTGATTGACATGATAACGTCAAATTATAGTATCATTAAATGATCATTTTTGTCTCACTTTTGAGAGCTGGAGTATTTCAACTGATTTCACACAATTTTCCCTTGTTTAAGCACGCGAGATATTTATTTGGAATCCCTTTATCCCGCCCGCGACTTTTGGCATGCGTGCCCATGACTGCCTTAGAGGCTACAATGTGCTGGTTTGAAAAACGAAAATGATAAAGAACGAACCAGGGCCATGTTGTTTTTTGTGTGTTTAGGCAAAACATGCCCAGCCCAACTAAAAATAGTTCAAAAGAATATTAACTTGAGTTTGAAGTTAGCACATTTTCGATCTGCCTTTTCTCAGAAGGACACATTGCATAATGAGCATAAAACATAAACAGTCTATAATTGGACATTATTGATAGTATTACATTTTATATACCGATATTTCCCCCCAAAAATCTGTAATAAAATAATAATAACTGTCTTGCCTTCCTGCGGCATTCTCTCTATTCTGTTCCTTTTTATTTGTGAATTTATTTCTGGTCTGTTGGTGGTTGGCGTGTGCTCTGGTGTGGTTTGCTCCTTCTATCCAATCATACATCTACGAGTCGACCTTTTCTCTCCTCCTTTTTTGTGTTTGTTGTAACACCTCTAATCGTTGGCAAGTGTGTGACGTAATTGAGTTGCAAGTGCTGTTCCACTTCTCACATAAAACTGTTCCATATTCCAGGTCTATCAAGCCGGGTACAAGAACATTGATGCTGTGGATGCCTCCCAAGGACTTCTAGACTCTGCGAAAGAAAAGGGAGTTTACGGGAAGCTGATCTGTCAACTCGTGGGAGATACCCCTCTACCCCTGGAAGACAGTGAGTGTTCTTTGCTTGAACTGAGCTGAGCTATTATTTGTTCGCGACTCATTTCTAGTCCGTTCTCTCTCTCTCTCTCTCTCTCTCTCTCTCTCTCTCTCTCTCTCTCTCTCTCGTTTGTCTCGGTTTTTTTCCCCCTTTCTTTCTGTTTCTTTCTCACCGGCTTCTGTAGTGTAGCGGTCAGGCGCTTCACTGTCGCACGTAAGAGTTCGATTCTCGAGTGGGAATAATTCTTATCGGATATCTCGGTCTGTCTACTTGAATGTCGTATTCCTCACAGTCCGGACTGGCCCTGACAGGCAGAGTCGGAGCGCACCTCCCAAATCATCTAACTTGTGTGAGGCGTAAAAACAGCAGCATCTAAGTAAGACCAGCATGTTCTTTTTTCGCCCCCCCCCTCTCTCTCTCTCTCTC